AAGGCCTCGATAGACGATCAAATTCCGAACCAATTCCGATCAAAGGATGACTGGTGTTCACCATCTACCATCAAATTTTGACGGGCCGCACTTTTTTGACAAAGTAGGTTTCACCATCCATCGCCGTGTTCGCATTTCCAATATGGCGATCTAACTGTTATTGTGGTGTTGTTGTGAATGTGAAGTATATTAAAATGGACCCGCGTTTCGTCTTTAAAAATAAAACTGTACAACCCGCAACAGCGAAAGTTGTGTTAAATGTAGTCAGAAAGACACAGCCGAATGATAATACTACCAAGAAAACTACTACTACGACCATCATTAACAAAAGGAACCGCGATGAAAAAGAAGACTCAACAACTGCGACCCAAGTAGTTAATAAGAAGTGGCCTCCTGAGCACATCTTGGAGCTCATACTTGCCTACAAAGGGCAACCCTGTCTGTGGGACTTGAAGCATCCCCATTATCGAAACAAAGGCAAGCGCATGCTGGCCTTAGCCGGGATAAGGCAACTCATGGACATTTTCCGTCCTGGCGTAACAGGTAAATTATGTACCTCTTTCACTATTCAGGTTTATACCCTCAAAGTGTCTACATCTATTTCTCAGTTCATGCATCACAGAATGTAAAAGTCAGTCATACCTACTTTTCGCACAGCACAGCACACGGCACAACACATATTGTTGAAGCAAAGCGTAGCAAACTGCAAAATGCCGAAAGGAATCATAATAGAAAAGCGAGTTTTACCCATCATGTACTGGTAATTATGTGAGGAAGGTTTTCTGGCATCATACAGTTCTTAAAAGTCACACTATCATTGATATTCTTCACTCCGCATTTGAGATATTCCTTCTCTCTACTATTCAATACCTCTGGTGTTATTTCAACCTCTCATGCCGAAACCTGTAGAATCTAATTCGACAGAAAAACCATGTAAGTTGTTTGTGGTGCTTGAAAATCCCTGTCCCTGTCCTATTTTCTTGAAAGAGAACAAATCATCACCATTTCTTGAAGTTTTTTCAGAATGTGTTTCGTATGGAGAAGAATAATCACGATAGTTTTTAGGAATCGAAGCTGAATATGATGTTTGATGGTCTCAGGCAATGGTCACCTGGGGCTGGGGTAATAAGCATGGGATTAGCCGATAGGCTATTTGAAATTGGTTTAAAAAAAAAATAAATAAATAATCCTCCATTTATGAAACCGAGACTGACGGGAAGTCTGCATCATGGCAATCAGAGGTACAAAGTTTGGGAATTTCACCATCGATTTGCTTATGCTGGTCAATTTCTCATTAACCCTTGTTTATATCAGGTTTTTTGTAAGTTTTCCTTGTTACAATGAATCATTGCGTACCAGTGTGAAACACTTGTCAGCTTGAATCTATTTAAATCAAATAATGGCTGTTCAGATAAATGGAATCCAGTGGTGAGAGGCAGAGAGACTTAATTGCATTGCAATATTACGAAGATTCATTCGACAATTATTCATTTCATCAGGAATGGATGAAAATTCTTCTCTGAAATGTTCTTTTTAATCTATGTTGAACCATCCAGGTGTAGTCTAATTTTTTTCCTTCTTCAGTTGTCATTTCTGAATAATTCAAAGTTACTAAGTTTTTTCTTTTTTTTCTTATAGAAGATGATATCTTAAGACAGTGGAACAGTGTTAGAACACAATTTACCACTGAATTTAACAAGATGAATGAAAGACTTCCCAGCGGCTCGCCGGCTCCCGAGACTCCGTCCGAGCCGTACATTTCTAGTATGACGCACTTCGATGAGCTGATGTTTCTCTCAGAACAAGTTGGTGGACGCAAGTCCACCTGCAGCTTGGAGCTGACTCAGGAGAGTGAAGGTGGAGGTGGAATTGATGATGCAATTTTGCAAGATGAGGTTAGTATAACTTATTCTAGTCAATAATTTTACGAACTTATGAGTGCAAGAACAACCTATCTCGGGACCAACTTCACGGTAACTGAAGAAACCGACACAATCCGAGGATTTTAGATGAGCAGAAAACACTTTTGATGTGTGTCATCAACTCACGCATGTATCACATGATCAAAGTAGAGCTGTCAAAGATCGTCGATTGAACAATCTTTCAGGGTCATGTGACGTACCTTTAAGGGCTCATACTATGATTGTGTGATACTGTCTTTATAAAAGAGACTTACAGCCAAAAGTATTTATCGAGGGTGTAAGTCAGCAATCACATAACTCGTTTGCGGTGTCTGAAAATCTCTGCCTCTATATTATTTCTTTAAAAGAGAACAAATTCACATCATTCTTTGAAATTTATGCAGAATTTTCTTCGCGCAGAGGAGAAAAATCACGGCAATTTTAAAGAATTGCCGTTGAGTATTTTTCCGTTCAAAAAATAAAGTATGACAGGAAGTCTGCGACGTCGCAAACCGAGTTATGTGATTGCCGACTTACACCGTCGCTATGGTTTTGCTTTCTTGCCAGAAAAATTGTAGTAATTCAAAACATCCAAGTCATGGCGTTTTCCGCACTCATTGACTTTTCAATAAAAAGTAGATTTGGAAGTTTTTAAATGTGAATGATAAATTATTTGCAATAGTACTGGTCAGGTATTGGAAGAAATGAAGCTGAAGAGAATCAAATAGAGTGGTCCTCAAAAGTAGAAGAAATTTTAGTTAATAAATATAATGAGCTGCCTACTTAACATACTTTTCTGTAGTTATCATTAAAAACTTAAGTATCTTATCAGTTAAAGTAAAAGACAAAATTAAAACATAGGCAAGACTGAAGTCAGTTGAAAATAATGGAAAATTCATAAAACAAAGTTTTAAAAGAGGGCATGTTAAGATTAGAAAAGTTAACAGTATGTTGATGGTGTGCCAGCAACTCCCATTGTAAATTCAGTAATAACATGTACCCAAACTAATGTTTCGAGAAGTAAAATATTTCAAATGTTTGTGGAACATAATTGTTTTTCAATAGAACAGTGGAACTTTATTACAGTACTTAAGATATTCTAATCGCACCTTTATTCCTGAATCATTACGCGCATCAATTGGCTCAAGCGGTACCAACTCAGCAGGTTCTTCATTTTCATCTTCCTCCGCGTTAGACCCTAGGTACCTATTTGGATCTTCTTCAATAAGAAAATTGTGCAGAATGCAGCAAACAAGAGTCACTAGTTCTACAAAATGAGGGTCTTGGCTTTCAATTAGGCCCAAGAGCACGCGGAACCGGTTTGCTAGTATCCCAAATGCATTTTCCACAACGTTTCTTGCTCTGCTCAAACATTTATTAAAATGAATCTGCATTTTTGAAAGGGATTTAAAAATGTACGGTTTAATCAGGTTAATTCTTAGAGGAAATGCATTGTCAGCAACTATTACAAATGGAACTTTAATTCTCCTGCCCGGTAGTGGTTCAGGGGGTGGAAAGTTGAGCTCATTATTCAACAGAGCTGTATTCAGTTTGCTACGAGACAAAACTCCGCCATCACTAATGCGTCCATTTACACCAACATCAACAGCCAGAAACTTTTTTTGGGCGTCAACTAAAGCAAGCAAAACTATACTATGGAACCCTTTGTAGTTATAGTACAGGACTGCATCTTTTCGGAGGGGTCGGAACCCAATGTGTTTCCCGTCCATTGCCCCAACACAATTTGGGAATCCCCAACAGTCTTCAAACTCCTTTGCGATTATCCTCCATTCTTCAGCTGTGTTAGGGGTCTGGAAATACAAAGGAAAAATCTTAAATATCGGCTATTTTTTATTCACTTTTTTGACGGAGAGGAAAAAAAGGAGGCGTTGGTAGTTTCTGACTCTCTCACATATTGGGGAGGCCCACAGAATGAAGCGAGCAGGAAAACTACACCATTGGACTGAGAGAGGGTCCCTGTTCATTGCTGATAGTAAAGTGAGTCGTTAAGTGAGCCCTGTGAAATGACTGGTTTCAAATCCTCAAATTGCCTACTAACGCCTTCTTCATTTCCTGTATGATTTTTTTTGGTTGCATACTTTGCTTAGACACTTAATCATTATGAAACTTTCAATTTGTTGATCAAATTTTCTATTTCAAAATGATTCCTCCTGAAATTCAGTCCAATCAAAAGGAGAACGTTTTAATGAAGTGGCTTGCTGAAAGCTATTGAGGAAAATTTCAAAAATGAAATTATATTAAAATACTTCTAAGTCAGGTTGTAATTAGCTTCTCTTCATCTACTCATGTATCAATGAATTTCTGTTTCGCAGAATGAGGACAATTTTTTCAATTCTGACAAAGGATCAACTAACAGGACCAAGAAGAAGAAGAAGGAGGAAAAATTGGACATAAATAGCTTCATCTCAGCCTCTACTTTAGCGATGCGTGCTTTAAGTAACCCAAATTCCCAATCGCCTACTCCACCTCCACCTCCACCTCCACCAGCAGCTCCAACTGCACCGATAGCTCAGAATGGAGGAGGACGCTTTGCAGCCTTCGGCCAATACATTGTCTCGCAGCTTTCAAACCTACCGGCAGATAGAGCCATAGAGCTTGAAGGGAAAATTCTGGATGCGATTAGATCCACCATGTATTAAGAAATTGACTTTGGCATGTAGATTTTCTTATTTTTTACTTTATTTTTTTTTTACTTCCTTAGAATTCTCTTTACTAATGTTTAGGTGCATGAGTATGTGAAGAAATATTCAGTCCTGCTTGATGCACATTGCCTGTGGGTCATTTTCGTGTAAAAAAAATCTCATGTTTAGGTGCTCATGTACCCTCATCTCCAGATGCAAGAGTATGTGAAAGAATGTCCAGTTCTGCTGTATGTACATTGCCCTTGTGTTATTTTCATGTAAAATAGAATGTACATTTTAATATTAATTTGTAAGGTTGTAGAAATTAGGCTTTCCTCCGCCATTTTCTCCTATATTTTTGGATGTTCCTTTTTTACAGTTACCTCTTTGAAGAAGAAAATAAGTAAATATGTACAAATCTATTTTATAAGAAAATTCGGTATCGTGGGTGCTCTTAACATGATCTCATAGCGGAACTGCAGGGACCTCTTCATAAGAGATTACGCCACCAGTGGCTGTTTCAGATGAAGTATTTCTCTTCAAGAAGTCCCAAGCGTTTCCTCATGTAATCACTGATTTCATTTTTTTACCTTAAATGTTGTCATTTATTCCAAAAATATTTTATGTAGTATTATTTAAAGGTGCATTAGTTCATGAGAGAAAAAGGCTGATTCTCTTTCCCTTGGTTCAGTTACTCTTGCCTTAATTCTTACAAAGAATTTTTAAGTCTGATGTTTATATAGGTAATATGTTATTATCTGGCTGGCAACAAGTGAGCAATAATGCGTCAATGTCGCCGATGCATCGTTTTTCTCAACATCACTGCTGTGTTGCAATTTTACTAGACTTTAAAACTTTATAAAAGACTTTATAACTAGACTTTATAAAAGACTTTTTCAGCAAAATTAAATTTTTAAAATGAAGTGTCAAGACAGTAATGCTGTATTAATTTCTCCCACACAAGCATAATTTTGTCAGTGTTTCTGAGAATTGTAATTTTACAAAATAGTTCTACAGTTCTTTGGCATCATTTTCAGCTGTCCGAGGTAATATTGAAACAAATTAACTTTAATTTATTTGACTCATTGTCTCTTGGCTGATAACTTTATTTTATTTGACCCATTGTCTCTGGGCTGATGTTTTTGTTTGGGTTCCCGGAACTTCTTTGAAAGAATTTTTGAAAACATCTCAAAGAGCTGTACTTTTAAGTTACTCTTCTTTCCATTTGCTTCTTTTCTATTATTTAATTTAAAACCAAGAATTTCTGGCTTATGTTGATGTAGGCAGCATGTTAACTTAATTTTGTTGTCTGTAAAAGGATTCAGTTTCTGTGATGGGAAGCAGAGGGAGTCTTAATATTTTTGAAAATTCTCATAGTTCATTTCTTCATAATGAGAGGGGGAAATTTTACCCTTTCGGTTATTTCATGTCTCCATTCCTTACTTGCAACATTAGAGTTCCTGGTCCTCATTTCGAGGTAGGCATAATACAAAGTTTAATTTCATTAGAAATGAAGGGATCTGAATTTATTTTTCCAAGCATAAAGAAATATGAAAGGATTCAATATTGAATAGTATTGAAAGAATGTTATTTTGTCACTTGTTTCAGTCATTCATTCCTGAATTAGAATTATTTTAAGAACTGTACTAAGTATTTCTAAGTCTATTGATGTAGGCATTACATTATTGAAATTTCCTTTATTATATAGATGCATTTTATTCGTTAAATACAATTTTTATTAGCCTGAAATTAATTTTGAACCATAAATTACCTACATATTTATTCTCTACCATAAATAACATGTTGATACCCTAAAAAAATTTCTGCTGGAAGCACTGTACTCAATGTTTTAGTACATTAATTAAATGGCTACGCGATGCTGGTAATTTTAATGCAAGTGACTGCTTAGAAAACATCAAAAGCCATTTCTGCTGTCGTGCATTTTTCGTATCCTCAGAGATCATTTCATTATCTTAGGAGTGAACTTACTTCTTACTTTTTCTTTGGATTACTTGAATTCCTCATTGGTATCAAAAGTAAATCACTACGCATGGTTCAATTTTATATCATTGATGAATCCAAATGATCTAAAGAGAAAGTGAAAAGTAGGTTTATCCATAAAAAAGAAATCCAATCCAGTGAGATTTAACTTGCTATTATTCAGAGATCTTAAGCAGATTGCTTCCTCTATTCCTTGCTATACCCATTTTGTTTTCCAGAGGTAAATGTGTGAGAAGACAGTTCTTTTTTTTGTTGACTGTGCCTGATCCTTTCAAACATCGTTAGTGTCCACATTCGGGTGTTCAACAATAGACCGCACAAAATCACTACACTCTAGTAACACGTATCGCATAATGCTTCAAGTGCAAAGTGGGTGCCAGGGGGTGATGGACCGCAGAAGGTTGCTTACTTTTTGTCTAGTGTCTCATTTTAAATTGTAGAAGTTAGCATCGAATATTCCTAAAGGTCTCGAGACACGATCAAATTGCGAACCAATCCGATTAAAGTAGATCAGTTGATGACTGCAAGATCTGAATATCATTGTCGTCACATGAAAACCGACCCATACTATGACTGTCAAAAGAAAATTGAGTCGTCCAAAAAACACAAAATAATGTATCATCTCGAACGATGAAGCCCTTGATTACTTATCACCATAATATCTGACAAGGATTGGAAAATGAATAGGAAAAATTAAGAGAAGTTGATTTTAGAAATATTTCTATTTCTTCGTTGAATCATTGGCTTGTGTCTACAGTGACAGAAGCAATTCATTTTTCAAGTGATTGTATAAGTGAAGCTGTAGGTTTTATCAATCATCAAAAGAGATACAGAAAGAAACTAATGTAGAAAACGAGAACAAATGGACGTATCATGCTGAAATGAAGTACAAACATAGGGTCTCCTGGCATGTAGTTCCTTTCAGCATAAGTAAGTTCAAATGTCAAGAGAAGAAAGGATTTTTGAAGGGTGCTTTTTTATTAGATTAAGTAGGTACCTAAAAAGAGATTTTCAATTTAATTGAAAAAATCAGTAACATTTATTTTAATTGCAAGTAGTGTTGTACTTAATTGTGTATTGGCTCAAAAAGAATGAAAGAAACTGTAAGATTTGAAGTAAAAACTGGCTCCGCAGGAAGGGTTGTTCCCTCCTCCAGTATGTGAATACTGACATTCTCCAAGAAGATTTGTGGACATTCGCAAACTTCTTGAAAATGATTGACGCAACGTTCAATAAATTTTTAAAAATGGTGGAACCACTTATCGCAATTTAGTCTGTATTTTCCCAAAGAATAAAAGTAAAGAA